AAAAGGAAGTGAACACTCAGTATGTACTTCCTGTTAGTCCGGCCGGGTACAGGAAACAGATGCTCCCTGTACCCGCGGACCATGATACAGGGCTTGGCCACGCTACAGTGAGGGAGTGACAGGAGGGAGCGCTGAGCGTTTCCCTCCTGTCAGCCCCTCTCCTCAGGCTGCGCCGGGGCGGGCAAAGCTGCAGCCGCCTAAGGCTCTCTACAGAGCGCTCGGACGGCTGCAGCATGATGGGGGCTGGCGCTCCTGGCGGCGCCCACTCCCAAGACACCCTCCACCCTGGTGGCACCCGGGGCGGACCGCAACCTCTGCCCCCCCTTAGTACGCCACTGCGTAGCACCCACATTAACCGAGTGTATCCCTTTGTGCTTGTTGAAAGATGCACATGACCTTTTTCAAATGACAACTTGCATTCGGGTACTCAGAAAATTAGACATTTAAATTTGTTTTTAAAAATTATTTTTTGGACACCACAGACAAATACTGATAAGAGCCCTTGCTTAACCCCCTAATGACACTTGACATGTGTGACATGTCATGATTCCCTTTTATTCCAGAAGTTTGGTCCTTATGGGGTTAAAAGAGGGTAACTAACACATAGGTATCCTATAAGTATTTGTTTTAGAGAATTAGCAGGAAACAGTTTTGGAGTTGGGATACTTAGTGTCGCTACTTTATGGGATTCTTCATACCCAAAATTTCATATCTATTCTTATAAATGTTGTACCTTTTTCTTGGGATGACATTGATCATCTAGTATTATGGGGTAAATGTATGCAAATGAGGAAATTAAAAAAGAAGCGATAAAATTCCACATACTTTAAATATATTATATTATTTATATCTGAATGCTAATTATTATTTGATCAAGGATACTTCACCTCACTAGATGTAAGGGCTTATACATTTTTTGCATTTTGTTCAGTAACCATGGAAGTGGGATATTTAAAGGGACACACTGATCAAATAAAAAAACTGTTTTGAAAAAAGGACACAGTATAGTAGATGAAAATGAAAACTTACATGCATTTAATTATGCATTTTTTTTCCCATCGGGGGTAAATTTAAAACCAGCTTGCAAAAGCTGCAGATCTGATGCCTGAAGCTTTTGCAAGCCCTTCCCTAGTAGCCCAGCCCAGACTTCCTGTGGCTGTCCAATCACAGACTTCCCAATGCAGCTCAATGAGAAGTCTTTGCAAGGCAAGTGCTCTGGGCAATTGCCTGCTTCTTGAGTTTGGCTTTACTGAGCTAAGCAAACCAGGAAGTAACACAACAGGTTATCTGATTAACAGCCAGAGGGTTTAACAAGGTTAACTTATAAAAGTACACATTGAAATCTGCACTTTTTGTAAAATGAAAAAAAGAGGACACACTCTTCACATGTAAAGCACTTTGGAAAGCCTGCCTGGAATGTCTAGTTAAGTAATTAGGATTCATATACACTGCTTACTTTCTGTGGTAAACAATTTATAGGATATTTTAAAGGTATACAGTTATAATTTTACAAAATGTTGTGGAGTGATATAAATAGTTAATCATTTTAAAATATATAGCAGTTTTCTGCCTATTTTCAAACACATATCTAATAAGGGATAAATGATATAAGTGTGATATAAGGGTTAACTAATCTCAATCATAAAACTGTAAAACATAGAATTTAGAAAACACATGTTAATACACTGTTATTTGTATTTGGAAAAGTCCATTTCTTTTCCATTGTTACATTTTTGGCAATGCAGTTTTAAAATAAACCTTCTAAAGATAGAACAGAGGGCATCACAAATATAATGTAAAAAAGTTTAAAAGATGATACATACATATTTTAACAGGGTGCTACTGATATATCCAGGAATACACAATGCAAAAAAGGATCAGAACATATTTTGTTTTTCTACAAAAATAAATAAATAAAAAATACAAAAATCTCCAATGGTCTACAAATGCTATATAAAACATACATAATATGAAAAATTGTTTTTAGTTATTATACATTATGACTATAACATTCTTGGAGTAAGATGAGTTGACAGTACTACTATATGATAACCACTTTTGCTACTTCCTCTGTTTCAGCACACCTGGATACATCTTTGGAAAACGCATCATATTTTTCTTGTTCTTCATGTCCCTTGCTGGCGTTCTCAACTACTTCATCACGCCGTTCTTTGGAGACAACATGCAAATGTACATTAAAACCTTCAGTAGCACTCTCTCACCTCTGCTTCTCATACCTTAACTGTTGGGCTGAAGCTACGACCCGAAGCAATGATAAATTGTGTATTATAAAGAAATAAAATACATTTGTAAAATAGCATCCCTATGGTATCAGTGTTCTAGTTTAATATGCATGTAAGATGTTTTACACAGTATTTAAAGACTGTGACCTTTGCAAAGTCAGATTTTTAAAAAAAATTTTGCTTTAAAAGATATTTACGGTGTTGTATTTATCAATAAAAGCACAATTAAATTCAGTTACAAGATTATACAAATTAAATCATAAGATATTAATTCGTTGAGAAGAAAAAAAAAAGTAGAATTACCTATTGTTAAATTTTGAAGGTTTGCTTCAACCAAAAACAGTGTTTCAATTAAGCAATGGATGGAGTATCCTGTATAGGAAGGAAAGGAAGTAACACAGAGGCCAGGTTCTACCAGCATGCCGAATCCTACTCCAGTAACATCTCTCCCCATCATTGGTATTAATGCTTGTCTGTCACCAGCATTGTGTGGTATTGTATGGATCCATGAGAAACCTTTTAGTGCTTTGGCTGATCTGAAGTCTGTCTGAGTAGAGATCACATTAAGTGTTCATTCCGGTCCACTGTAGTTGTTATTATGCCAGGAGTGGCCCAGCACAGCCTTATTGTAAATAGTCAAACTGTTTGCTAACAATTCGACTCCTTATCTGGGATTCACTGTGGACTGCTCCTTTCCCCTTACAAATTGGTTCTGGGAGCAAGAAGCACTTCACAGGTTCTGCAGTGCAGGTACAGCCTACTGGCTGCAGTATCAGCTAAACATTCACAACCAATAAACTAATCTCTTTACTGCCAGGCTTAGCACAGGCAGAGAGCTTTTGGCCCTTGTTGAGGTAGAGAGCAGGACCCGGCAAAGCCCAGGTAAGAAAACAGTTTGACTATTATTGTGGTGGTGAGTCAAAGCACATTTAGATTATCCGTTTTGTGCTCTGTATTTGGTATAGTCTTCTTCTGTGATCAGTGGTGTCATCTCAAGGGTGTGCAATATTAGACTTGAGCCCTGCCAACATTTTCATTTAGTCCAAAGACATTCTGACAAAATGTTTTGTTTTGGCCAAAACAAATTTAATCTGTTTATTCATTCTGTTCCAGACAAAATTCAGCCATTATTTTAGTTTTATTTAATTTCATTTGGTTGAATGAAATTCTGATCGATGCCACAGGCTTGCAGCCATTTAGTGGATAATTCTAAATTCCTACTCTTGTGCGATTGCCATATTTAAGAGTACAACATTAGGAGGCTGTTGAGTAGATAGTCCTTTTTTAGTATCCTTATGCCAATCCTGCAAGGTGGGGGCCCTAATTAATAAGGGGGTGTGGACCTATTGTCCCTTCTAATGCCCACCTATTGGTGGCACGTGGGGGCCCTAGAGAAAGGGGGCAGACCTATTGTGTCCCCCCATTAAAATTATCCTTCCCAGTGACTAGGGGTCCCTAAGTCCCTAGTCACCTACCCATAAAAAAAATTAAAAAAAATAAAAATACCATAACTTATCCCTCACTCTAATAATAGTGAGGGGGAGGAGGCGAGTGAGAGCATTAAACGAAATACCTGTAAAATAAAAAGTAATACACACCATAAGATGTCTTCTTTCTTCTGCCACCTTCTTTTCTTCAGCTCCAAAAGAGGCCAAAGAAAAATCCATAAAGTCTCATCACAAGTATTATTATAAAAAAGGAGCTGATCGCAAAAATAAAATAAAAAAAACCACACCAAAAAAATATGCTGGCAAAAATAAAATATCTTCAGACCATGCCTGCAGAATGTATTTGCAGGGAGGGGAATGACTTATTACGCTTTACCACACTGTACAATTGGAGTCAGTGGTCTGATTGGTTGGCCTAGCCAACCAATCAGAGTGCTCTGACAGGTGATCCTTGAGACTAACTTTAAAAGCCAAACAATCAGAGCGCTTTGAATCAAATTTTTACAGCGTGAGAAAGCTTTTTAAGGCTTTACCCGCCCTGCAAGCTCATTTTTGCAGGGACGCCTCGTTGGGTAAAGATGGATTATTTTTTCGTCTGGAATTTTTTTGTGATTGGGAGCTTTATTTTTTATTTTTTTTTAATGATTGTTAAATTTTGTCCAGCAAGCAATTAGTTTTAATTTCATTTGTTGTAATTTGTATTCGCTTATTCGTCTTTCGGTCAAATTGCCAAAAATTCGGACCATAACATGTTTGTGCAAAAACAAATGCCCAAGTCTATGCAATATAACACAACTTGAACTCTTACATACAAACGTGAGTGCCAGGGATGTGCCAGTTGTGCGTAGAGAGTCCCAAATTCAGGGCCAAATCGTTGTCCTCCTCACTCGTAATAGCACTTTTTGCAGCAGATTAAACGTATCTAGGTAAAGATAAATTATCTAAATACCCTATTGTACATATGTAATGTGCAACATATAATAAACTGCTGCAATTTCACATTTACAGTGCAGTTTACAGACTGACCACAATGTGGTACTAGAAGCAAATTATATATTCTTTATATAAATCTACAGCTTTCTCTAACCATAGCTCACTCTCTCAGGGTGATGTATCAAACATTGACTAGAGAATAGGGAAATAATTTAATGTGATTGATGTTTAACACCAGACAAATAAAAAATAGAAAAAATACATTTGATGTCTCTCATATGCACACTAAGGTGTGATCAGAGCTTGATTAAGAGTCTGTGAAGCCTGTACAAGTTACCAGGTAAGATCCTTTCACATATACACTGTGTCTGCTTACTCACACGATGGATGCCAAGTTGTCAAATCAGATTCACATCTTCGGTCGTAGTTATGTAAACCGTAAATTTCTTTCAGTTCAGCTGTTTTAACTTTAAAATGGAAATTTACTTTGAATTCCTGACAATTCTCACCTTCCTTTGTATCTAATTAAAACTGAAAAAAAGAATCTCATGCCATCAGGGTTATTTACAAAAGTGTGAATTCAAAGTGAATATTAAATTGGAGAACATTTTTTAAGTCAGCAATGCTTTTAGTTTGGCTACTTTGGACCTAAATTTGAAATTCACTTTGAATTCTTACTTTAGTAAATAATCCCGTATCAGCATGTGGGAACAACTGCCGGATTACTACTATCTTGCATAATATATTTGGCTCAATGACAAACTAAACAGGAGTTTAGCAATCATACAATAAGAGTAGATCATCCAGTGGGTAGGGTAAATGAATGAAAAAGACACATACAGGAAATTCTAAATGTAAAAGCCCCGATCATTTCCGAGAAGACAACTCCTCAGGGTGTGTTCAAGTTGAAAGGTCATGCTTTACATGCTAACCCTACAATATCCTGAAAAATGGCTAAATTAAGTTACCTTGATAATTGATACCCTACAAATTCATGCAACGTCCTGAGTGTACACAATTGCATACATGTTTTTTATTGGTTGCTCTTTGCAGACATATTGAATTTTGGAGAAATTTTGAAGAATTCTGCAATTTGGAAGAGTCCACATTTTTTAATTCCTTACAAATTTAGTTTTGCGTTACCAAATTCGTCTTCATAAACATAGCAAATTAGGAACATATCTATTATGCAGCTGAAAACAGCAACAATAAGAAAGTGCTCTTTTTTATGCCCTTTCAATTTAGATGTTTCTCCAATGTGCTATCCTTACGAGGATGCTATAATTAAGAATACCAAACTGGGATTTATCTACTCAGCAACTGCTAAAAAAACCCTCTAAAATAGTATCTTTCAGGATAGTGGGAGTAATGGGGTCTGAATTTCATTTTGGCTCTGAAAGAGTTTTTTAATTTTTACATTTCAGACTACCTTAAATTCAAAAATTAACAAATTGAAATAAAACTAAACTCATTTTTCGGCTGTGCACATCTCTACTGCATACCCAACAACCTACATACCTAACAGAAGATAGGGATTCCAAACTACTAAAATTCAATAAAAGCAATAGGCATAATGGCACAAATTGAATTACTATATAGCCAAATCTGATTAAGATTCGGTCAGTCTGGAATCAGCACTGGAATCGCAGACTTATTAACTGCTACATGGCGGCTGAGGCTAAACGCAACGTAGCATCTCCCCACCGGCCCATGAAGGCACACAGCAGGACCAGGGCTCAGATAGCACCGGCTCTGCATGGGCCGACAGGGGAGATCTGTGACCTCCCCTGGTGCCGGGCAGCACTGATGAGGGACACGTTCAAGTAAGTATTAGTGGTAGCGGACTGCTTTGATATCTGCTTTGGTTGCACAGCCCTCTTATGCGCTTATTGATGTTGCCTAAGCTAATGTAATGTCATCTTCCATCTCTTGAAATCACTAAATAGCGCAGAAGGAGCTGTGCAGTCCGAGGCAGGTGCCTATTGTACGTAATTGTAAATCCAACTCTGGTAATAAGCACAATTATGGCAAACAATATAATTTTTTTTTCATTATTGAAATATGTTATTCATTTGTAATACTGTGTCACACGTACATGTAAAGTGTCCAAAATAAAGCCCTATCCGTACATTAAAAAAATATAATTCATATTACGTATTGGTGTACTTAAAGAGAAATAATTAAATTATGATGGAATAAACACATTGCAAAAGTTTTTTTTTTTTTTAAAAAGAGCTTAGTTATGAATGGGTTGAATGGTAATCTAACAAAGTTTTTGAAGAAGGATGTTAAAGCCAAATGTAATACAGAGAATCAAATAAGCATTCATGTTATTTTAAAAAAAAACAAAAAAACAAAAAAAACGCAAGGACGTTTTATTGGGATGACCCACTTGTGAAAATATAGCACAGTCATCATGCGCACTATGTACTTTCAATAATATGGACATTATATATAAATGGATTCACTAAAGTGTAATTTGACAAGAATTCAAAAGAAATAATTAAAAGTACATGTCTAATTTAGCCTATAATAGCTGAAATGTGAAAAATTCTCAGTATTAGTTTGACTACTTTGGCCTGAAATGTGAACTGTACCTTTATTTTCCAACAATTCATGCTGAATACCATTTATGGCAGGGGTGCCCAAAAGGTAGATCCTCTGATGTTGTAGAACTACAACTCCCATGATGCTTTGCATGTCTTTAGCATGACAAAGCATCATGGAAGTTGTGTTTTTTTTTTTTGTTAAAAAACATCTGGGGATCTACCTTTTGGGCACCCCTGCTTTATGGATTCCAAGGCACAAATGGAAACTGCTGTTCTGCAGTGTGTATGTAGAGCTCATATGCCGCATGACAGAGATCAGTTAAAGGGAAACTATAGTGTCAGGAAAACAAACTTGTTTTCCTGGCACTATAGCTTCCCCCTTTGTCAACACCCCCTCACGTGGCACTGAAGGGGTTAATAACCCTTCCAGTCACTTACCTGGGTCCAGCATCGATGTCCCTTGGCACTGGCTCAGCTCCACCCACTCTCCTCCCCCGCCAACATCCGCAGGCGGGGGAGACCTAATGCGCACATGCTGTAATAGCCGTGCACGCATTAGCATTTCCCCATAGGAAAGCATTATCCAATGCTTTCCTATGGGGATTCCGTTGATGCTGGAGGTCTTCATGTAGAGCGTCAGGACGTCCAGCGTCGTTTAGCTGACCAAAAGTCATCTAAGAGACAGCCACTAGAGGAGGAGTTAACCCTAGAAGGTAATTATTGCAGTTTATAAAAACTGCCATAATTACCACTCTAGGGTTAAGGGTGATGGGAGTTGGCCCCCAGATCACTTCAATGAGCTGAAGTGGTCTGGGTGCCTACAGTGTCCCTTTAATCTGCTGCAGCACATCCATACTACGTACATAATGTAGGACAGCACTTTTCATGCCCTGCCAACCATCACAAGGATGTGTGATATCTGTCCAGGAAACCATGGAAACAAACGTGAGTGCTGAGACGATCATTGACATCCTGACACTGAGGGTTAAATAGGAGAAAATGTTCATATGCTTAAAGCAGCTGTATCGCAAGACTGGCTCTGATTAGTAATTAGTGATGAATCCCTCATATATTCAATCAACACCTTTCTAAATGATATTTAGATGGGGGGGTAGCCAAGTCTCAAGATTAGATTTAAAACATTTTATTTTTTTCTTTTAGGAAGTTTTAAGTGCGGTTTTATTTATTATTAATTTTTTTATCTCCTTTAATTGAAACTATTTTACTCTGGTTCTCATCATGCGTTACAGGGATGTATTTTCTCAGTTTTCAATGGGTGTCATGGAGCTTGATGACTTTTTATCTTCTCCTCCTCCTGGGGTCGAGATTCAGAATCTCCTTGGACGCAGTATAGTGAAATGTGTCTCGGACGGCGTCTATGCTGTTGCTGATAACTTTATCCTTCCATCTGGCAGAAGGGTTATTTTTAATGACACTCTGGGACAGTGAGTATGTTTGTACTAATGGGTAATTCTATAGAACTACTGTCTCTTTCCCCAATATTATCAGTCATTTACTAAAGTGAGAATTGTCAGGCATTCAAAGTGAGCTTCTTCAAACTTAAGGCCAAAGTAGCTGAACTTGAAGTGTTGCTGAATGGAGACGATTTTCATTTTGACTAGACTGGCCTCAAACTTGAAATTATTTTATTTTTTTGTGAATAACTGTCTACAACTCCACATGGAACAAAATAGAACTCCGTTGAGGTTATGGGTTAGGTTAAATTAACTTGGACAGTTTCCCACCTTGTGTACAAAAAGTGTGAAACCTATTCAGTCACTAAAGCAACACTCCAAGCACGTTAACCAATTCAGCCTGCTGTAGCAATTCTGGTGCTAGGATTGCCTCGGTGCCCACCCACCGTAAATGGCCAAACTGTTTTTTAAGAATGGTTTAACCTCTTACCTGGCTTTTTCCAGTGATCCACCTTCCCTCTCTTACTGCCTGAGCCTCGTGCATGGAGCTTCTATTTAGTTCCACAGATCTAACCTCTGCAGTTCAAGGCAGCGTTCCTTAACTGAGGCTGTCAGATGAGCACTTTCTGTCAATTGGCTCAGTGGCTGGGAGTGTCTGAATGGACCCAGGTAAGCTATCAAATTATTTTTAAGTGGTTTGATTACATTTTCTGGGATGGCACCAGGACACTCCTGGAAACATAATCCTACAATGTGCTGTAGTAGTCATGGTACTTGGACTGTTAATTTAAAGTAAGACTTTAGTGTTGGGAATACAGAGCTGTATTCCCAACACTATAGTGTCCCTCTGTCTGTGTGATCCCACAGCCCTTGTCCATGAAAGGGTTAAAATCCCTTCCAGTCACTTACCAGATATCAGCGCCAAGGTTACTTGGTGCTGGGCTGCGCTCCTCGTCCTCAGTAAGCCGATTAGTGGGGATCATAACGTGTGGCAAGCGTGCGTTAGACTTTCTCCAAAGGAAAGCACTGACTCGATCCTTTCCTCTAAGGATTTAGAAGATGCTGGATGTTTTCACTCAGTGAGAATGTCCAACATCTAGTGGCGGTCTCTCATACAGAGGCAGTCAGATCCCTGCAATGTAAGCACTGTAGTATCTCTAAAACTGCAATATTTTACATTGCGGGACTTGGGGAGATCGGTGTGCCTGTAGTGTCCCTTTTAACTTCAAAAACACAGATGCGCTGTATAAAGTGTGTGTGTGTGTGTGTGCACATCTGTAATGCAACTTTCATTTTATTAAAGAATTCTGCTTCGCTAAACAATTTTGTAGTAGCTATGTGTTGGAGTCTGACAGACCTGATGAGTCTTTTAAACAGTTTGGGGAGCCAATTTTAGAGTTCAAACCAAATGTTAAAAACCACTGATCAAGGGTAAGGTTTGTCAAACTCCAGTGTGCTAACAACAAACATTATGGTTTTAGGAACATGCCTATGTATGTAATTTTATATATTGCACCTGATTGCATCTAACTTTCCTAAATGTACAATTTTCTGTTTCTCAAATTTTACTGGGGAACAGTAAATCCAAGTATTAATAGTGGGAATATGAATTGCTTGTGGTTTGTTTGGTGTTTTTTTTTGTTTTTTTTTCACAATTTAAAGGGATAGTAAAGTAGAAAACAAGTATTGCTTATTTTAGTAGCAAACGCTAAAATCTTGTGGGGATCACATGCATTCTCACTCTGAGTTATACATTTCTTCTCCCCACCACAAGAATATAATCATTTGACTTAATTGTGTACTCCATGGTAAAATCATCAGGGGGGAAAAGTTGAGGGACTTGTATGTTCAAATATATATGTTCCAATTTTGACATGACTCCATTTACTTCCCATTATAAAATACCTGGCAACGATAGATATGAGACTGTAACAAAATACAAATATGGGGTCTTTTGAGTAGTGGGTCACACACTGTGAAATTCCCAATGAATCTGGTGTGTTTAGTGGCAGCTGAAGAAATTTTTGATCCTGGGTGAAACTTGGCTAAGGTTTCTAATGTTTAAGGAGGGGAAAAACTGTTTCTAGATCAGTCTGACTTCTTTCTGGGGGTCTGCAGCTCTGCTGGGTGTGATTGTGTGGTAAAGGTCTTGAACTTTGACACTTGGTGTCAGAGTGTTGCAGTGGTAACCTGCGGTAACGCTCTGATTGGGCGAAGCTTACTGACCACTACTTCATGACCGGTGTATAGTCGCCATATGGGCAGTCGGAACCTAGGACAGAAACCCCCACCTACCTAACCCAATAATACACTGACAATAGGGTATATGGGTAAAATTGTCCACAGCTTTTATTAACCATTATAATAATAAATATAATTATCATTAGTAATAATCATAACAATATAATAATAAATTTAACATAAATATGGGTCATTGCCCCCATACTCCGCCCTCGCATCCTTCTTTTAATATAACGGGCAATGACCCCCAACATACTAACACACATATCTTTAACAATTTACAACCTTACTCCAACATAACAATTTAAGTGCCAACCATAATAACCACGGCAGGGGTATACCCGGATACTCCTACCCCACCAGGTTCTGAGCAACCTCCAGGACTCGAAACCTACCAACCACCAGTGACCACAATTTCCATGTCCGTGCTGTTCCTCATGGGAGCCTATTTCCTCTTCCTCGGCTCCCTATCCCGCCGCTGTGACAAAACGGGATACCATCATTTATCTCAAAAGCCCAGGGAGGGTGGGTGGGACAAACTCAACCAGGTAGGAAATTAAATGTGCTCTGTCCAAAATGGCTGCCTACTTAAGTAGACCAACCCCTTTCTCCCACAATCCACCAGTCCTGGCCGGCTCCTCCTAACCCCTGTCAAGGCCCTCCTCCGCTAAGCTGTGCTTTGGCTCCTTGGGGCTACAGTCTGCAGACAGGAGACTGTACTCCAGGGCAGAGTGGAGCGACCTTGCACCTGGCAGTATACAGGGTAAGACCGGGCCAGGCTCCCTCCTGGTGTTGTTCCCTAAGTCACGGACCTAGGATCTGACGGATCATTCTGCCATTCTTTGCTGGCCTGAGTTAATCACTGGTTAGGCGAACTTGTTACATTTTTAGAAACTGGTTCACACAAACCAACTGGATCCCACCACTGTATATGAACAAATTTTGTGTTTTTTTTTTTTTTTCTCTTCCTTTAGGACCATCAATATAACCTCACGGGAGGAATATGAGGATGTAAAACAGAAGCTGTATACCAAGCTGCTTATTCTCATCATATTTGCCTGTGAGACCAATGAAGATGAATATGGCACAAGAAAATACTTTAAACCCACCAAGTGTAAGGCCATTACCTGTGCTTTCAACATCTTTAATGTTATTTACTAAAGTCTAACTGTAAGGGAGTGCTAATTTTTAGTCTAGATCTTGATTTAGTCAAACATAACCTATTGGAACCAAAAATTACTTATACGTTGTAACAATTAAGATTAGGTGTACACTCAGTATTGGAAATTAATGATAAAAACCACCACTGGTGTGCATATGGAGCGCTTACAAATTTGTTGACTCACCCATATGGGTTAACATACATATGTATGGAAAACGTGACTCATAGCGATATATCTGAAACAAATGTAAATGCAAGAAATAGTGCAGATAACGTTTTCAATAAGTGCAGTGAGGGAATATTCTATATGGTCTCACTCACATGTAGCAGAGCCCTATAGGATAGGCTCAGATCTCAATGGCCTGCGTGTGCTTATGGTGACACAGTACCCAATCGGTCCTCTAGGCGTCTGGAGATCCTTATGCATACATGAGAGAGAGAGAAAGAGAGAACAAGGGGAAGAGGAGAACCCCTAGTGCGGTCAATCCCAATGTACAATGTCAAATAGTGCAGAAAAAGTGGCTTCTCACCTGATGTGGAGCCCTATACCTGGCTCCTGGTGTGTAGGTGTCTGTGCCTTTAAGGGGGCAACTACCCTTCTTTAAGCAGCAACAATGGAGGGTGGATTCCAAATATAAAACAAAATTTATTAAATAAAGTAGTAAAAACTTACAAGTAAAATATAAACAAAATTGTGAGAAATTATAAAATGTGGAATCTTCAATCCTCCAGCCGAAACATGTTTCACTGTACCCAGACAGCTTTTTCAATCGGTAATATAGTTGCTGCTGTTACTTGTTTAAATACTTTGTACTTCCTCCTGTGTAGTCCTTCAAACTTCCCTCCCTCCAATCCGCTGGCGTCCTTTTTCATGAACAGCTGTGCTGTGTTAGTAATGAGAATGCTCCGGTCTCGGAACAAGTCATGTGACCCGAAGCATCACGTGCCGCATCACAAATTGGGCGTGTTTTCAATGTAGGGCTCACAGTTCCATATCGTCCATTTTTAAGTTGGGCAAAATGCCCTTCCTTCAACCAAGTCCGTTCCTATTTACAAGCCAGATGCTCAATTTGAGCGATATATAAACGAAAAAATGAAGGGAGAAAGGGGGATAGTATTATTGTATATTGCTTACAAGTTAATTCATAAAATTTACATATCAAAAAAATAAAAACATCTATTGTTTTTCATTCAAAGTGACAGTACATGCATAAAGATAGGTGGTGAATAGGAGTGTGCTCTTTTGGGAGAAATGCTGATTATTATTGAATAGGTCTCAATTGTGTCAGCAGCTTATCTTCAATGATGATATCAATATTAAAATATATATATAAAAAACATATAAATATATAGTAGGTTCCTAGCTGGTCTCCCATACAAGTACTAACCAGGCCTAAGCCTGGATAGCTTCTGAGATCTGACGAGATCAGGCATTTTCAGACTGGTATGGCCATAGAGCAAATATTTAAAATGTATGAAACATACTAATAAAAAATAAAAAAATAATTTAAGTTAAAAAATGGCATAACTCAAAATCATCATTGAGACCATTAGGCTGCATGGTATTCAGGTTAAAAATCCATTGCATCTCCCTTTGGCCTAATTTTTTAATAAAATCTCCCCCTCTCCAATCGGGTGATACCCTCTGAATTGCATGGAATTCTAACTGGGTGGGATCGCTATTATGTTTATTTTTAAAATGTAAGGAGACACTGTGCTTTTCATAGTTGTTCCTAATATTCCTAATGTGTTCCTGTACTCTAATGTGCAACTTTCTTTTGGTGCGCCCTACATATACAAGTCCACATGGGCATATCAAGAGATAAATAACTCTCGTGGACTGACAAGTAATTAGCTCGTTGATCTTAAACATGACTTTTTTATTTTGAGGGTGTGAGAATTCTTTTACTAGTCTCTTCTTACTTTTTGAGTTCTTGCACGCACCACAGTGTCCACAACCATAAAACCCTTTTGTTTCGTTGAAAAAGTCCCTATTACATCTTTTTAGGGGTATATGGTTAGATGTTAAATTCTTTACTCCTCTATAAACAATCTTAGGCTTCTCCGGAAGAATACTATTAAGGAGGGGGTCATTTCTTAAAATTGGCCAATACTTTGAAACTATTTTTCTAAATTCTTTACTTTTACAGTTAAAGTCACATATAAGTCCTATTGTTTGTGGTTCAACTTTATTTTTAGTGTGCACACACGTTAGATGCACTGTGTAGGTTAGGTTACAGTTGGTTATACTGTGCACCTACACATGTTAGATGCACTGTGTAGGTTAGATTACAGTTAGTTATACTGGGTGGGTTTATATTATTAAAGGGACACTCCAGGCTCCCACACACGTTAGATGCACTGTGTAGGTTAGATTACATTTAGTTATACTGAGGGGGTTTATATTATTAAAGGGACACTCCAGGCTCCCACACACGTTAGATGCACTGTGTAGGTTAGGTTACAGTTGGTTATACTGTGCACCTACACATGTTAGATGCACTGTGTAGGTTAGGTTACAGTTAGTTATACTGGGTGGGTTTATATTATTAAAGGGACACTTCAGGCTCCCACACACGTTAGATGCACTGTGTAGGTTAGATTACAGTTAGTTATACTGGGTGGGTTTATATTATTAAAGGGACACTCCAGGCTCCCACACATGTTAATAGCACTGTGTAGGTTAGGTTACAGTTAGTTATACTGGGTGAGTTTATATTATTAAAGGGACACTCCAGGCTCCCACACACGTTAGATGCACTGTGTAGGTTAGGTTACAGTTGGTTATACTGGGTGGGTTTATATTATTAAAGGTACACTCCAGGCTCCCAGACACGTTAGATGCACTGTGTAGGTTAGGTTACAGTTGATTATACTGGGTGGGTTTATATTATTAAAGGGACACTCCAGGCTCCCACACACGTTAGATGCACTGTGTAGGTTAGATTACAGTTAGTTATACTGAGGGGGTTTATATTATTAAAGGGACACTCCAGGCTCCCACACACGTTAGATGCACTGTGTAGGTTAGGTTACAGTTGGTTATACTTGGTGGGTTTATATTATTAAAGGGACACTCCAGGCTCCCACACACGTTAGGTGCACTGTGTAGGTTAGGTTACAGTTAGTTATATTGGGTGGGTTTATATTATTAAAGGGACACTCCAGGCTCCCACACGCATTAGGTTACAGTTAGTTATACTGGGTGGATTTATATTATTAAAAGGACACTCCAGGCTCCCACACACGTTAGATGCACTGTGTAGGTTAGGTTACAGTTATACTGGGTGGGTTTATATTATTAAAGGGACACTCCAGGCTCCCACACATGTGAGATGCACTGTGTAGGTTAGATTACAGTTAGTTATACTGGGTGGGTTTATATTATTATAGGGACACTCCAGGCTCCCACACACATTAGATGCACTGTGTAGGTTAGGTTACAGTTAGTTATACTGGGTGGGTTTATATTATTAAAGGGACACTCCAGGCTCCCACACACGTTAGATGCACTGTGTAGGTTAGGTTACAGTTATACTGGGTGGGTTTATATTATTAAAGGAACACTCCAGGTTCCCACACACGTTAGATGCACTGTGTAGGTTAGGTTACAGTTAGTTATACTGGGTAGGTTTATATTATTAAAGGGACACTCCAGGCTCCCACACACGTTAGATGCACTGTGTAGTTTAGGTTACAGTTATACTGGGTGGGTTTATATTATTAAAGGGACACTCCAGGCTCCCACACACGTTAGATGCACTGTGTAGGTTAGATTACAGTTAGTTATACTGGGTGGGTTTATATTATTATAGGGACACTCCAGGCTCCCACACACGTTAGATGCACTGTGTAGGTTAGATTACAGTTAGTTATACTGGGTGGGTTTATATTAATAAAGGGACACTCCAGGCTCCCACACACGTTAGGTGCACTGTGTAGTTTAGATTACAGTTAGTTATACTGGGTGGGTTTATATTAATAAAGGGACACTCCAGGCTCCCACACACGTTAGATGCACTGTGTAGGTTAGATTACAGTTAGTTATACCGGGTGGGTTTATATTATTAAAGGGACCCGCCATCCTCCCACACACGTTAGATGCACTGTGTAGGTTAGGTTACAGTTAGTTATACTGGGAGGGTTTATATTATTAAAGGGACACTCCAGGTTCCCACACACGTTAGGTGCACTGTGTAGGTTAGGTTACAGTTAGTTATACTGGTGGGTTTATATTATTAAAGGGACACTCAGGCTCCCACACGTTAGATGCACTGTGTAGGGTTTGGGTTACAGTTATACTGAATTTGGGTTTATATTATTAAAGGGACACTCTCGGGCCCCACACACGTTAGATGCACTGTAGCTGTGTAGGTTGAATTTACAGTTAGTTGGCTGCTGGGTGGGTTTTATATTATTAAAAGGGACACTCCAGAGGCTCCACACGTTAGATGATGCACTGTGTAGGTTAGATTACAGTTAGTTATACTGAGGGTTTATATTATTAAAGGGACACTCAGGCTCCACACCGCGTTAGATGCACTGTGTAGGTTAGGTTACAGTTGGTTATACACGTACTACACATGTTAAGGTGATACTGTAGGGATTGGAGTTACAGTTAGTTATACTGGGTGGGTTTATATTATTAAAGGGACACTCCAGGCTCCCACACACGTTAGGTGCATCGTGTAGGTTAGATTACAGTTAGTTATACTGGGTGGGTTTATATTATTAAAGGGACACTCCAGGCTCCCACACACGTTAGATGCACTGTGTAGGTTAGGTTACAGTTAGTTATACTGGGAGGGTTTATATTATTAAAGGGACACTCCAGGCTCCCACACACGTTAGATGCACTGTGTAGGTTAGATTACAGTTAGTTATACTGGATGGGTTTATATTAATAAAGGGACACTCCAGGCTCCCACACACGTTAGATGCACTGTGTAGGTTAGGTTACAGTTAGTTATACTGGGTGGGTTTATATTATTAAAGGGACACTCCAGGCTCCCACACAGGTTAGATGCACTGGGTTGGTTAGGTTACAGTTATACTGGGTGGGTTTATATTATTAAAGGGACACTCCAGGCCCCCACACACGTTAGATGCACTGTGTAGGTTAGGTTACAGTTATACTGGGTGGGTTTATATTATTAAAGGGACACTCCAGGCTCCCACACACGTTAGATGCACTGTGTAGGTTAGGTTACAGTTGGTTATACTGGGTGGGTTTATATTATTAAAGGTACACTCCAGGCTCCCAGACACGTTAGATGCACTGTTAGGTTACAGTTAGTTATACTGGGTGGGTTTATATTATTAAAGGGACACTCCAGGCCCCCACACACGTTAGATGCACTGTGTAGGTTAGGTTACAGTTATACTGGGTGGGTTTATATTATTAAAGGGCCACTCCAGGCCCCCACACACGTTAGATGCACCGTGTAGGTTAGGTTACAGTTATACTGGGTGGGTTTATATTATTAAAGGGACACTCCAGGCTGTGCCAACATTAACACATTAAATATTGTAAAAACTAACCAAGAAAAACGTAGCAGGTGGGATTTAATTCCACTTCCTTTATTTAGGTAAAATGTTAACAAGTAATCAAATC